TTGTCATTCAGCTTTGTCGTTGTTGGTTTCTTATTCGTGGAAGGTTCGTAGACGGTTATCATTTATCCTGTTCGACATCGACTCGACGAGGAACGGGGACTGTTCTGATCGCTAGACGATCCTTTGATCATTCGATATAGTCCGAGAGAGTCCGACCGCGGAAATCAGTATCGACGTTTCTCAATAAACAGAAGCGTGACCTCTGAATCTCTTGTTTAAATCAAACAAATCGACGAGCTCGTTATAGATCTCTAGAACTACCTATATAATTTTCTTGTACATGATAACAGTGCATTCATTGAAATTCCGATCGACATCGCAGATTCGTTAATCGTTTGTCCTTCCAATTGTAAAAGACAGCCGGACGGATCCGGTAGTTCTAGAGTTAAGTTACAAATTCATTTTAACGTGCCGAAGACTTGGTGGAAACGTGGTCGAACTGTCCGGGACAGAACCTGAGCTATGGTCCGTCGAGTCGACATCTTGTGGTGTTTCGTCGTTCGTCGTGAATCGCAGATTTCCGCTTCTGTCCGTCGCGACGAGTGAGACGTCGTTGACCGACGGCGGAGACAATGAAGCACGCCGAACTCGCTGAAGCGAAATGGCCCGGGATTGTTAGAACGATCCTAGGGCCGGTGAACGTGACGTCGATGAGTTTCTTCTGGGAACAATAATCAATTTGCGACTGCGCCGCCCTCGCAGCTCGACGAGCCCGTCCGTCTCGTACCAATCTAACCAGAGAATTTCACGTAGCCGAGTATTTTAGCGCGTGTCGAGCTGAGAGGGGAGCAACCAGACAGAAAAAGACAGCCAGAGTGTCCGAACGTCTCGGTCCACGCGCGAGCGTCCGCTTTCGTGGGTCTCGCGGTGTACTTCTTCGGGAGCGTGTCTATCTTAGAATAGATTCTTGAATGTTCGGATATACGATATACACGTATTCTCTGTATAAGTAGAATCTCTCGAGGCCGAGGGCCTCGTGTTTCCTGGACTCAACGTAGAGCTCTAGACGAGAAGATAGCGGCACGAGAACAATCAGCTTCTTAGAACGTTCATTTTGTACGGTAGAACGGGAAAGGAATATTCTGTGGTTATAGGCGAAATTTCGATTACGAACAATTTGATATAGTATTTATGGCAGCGGTTCATTCAGATTCTTACTCAGCGTATCGAAGATTGCTTTAGGTTCGAAATGCGTGGAATTTGAAGTCCCTTATACGGGAAGTCTATTAAATTAGAGTCATCGTTTTCGTTGGTAGACCTCAGGTCTTCTCTCTACAGAACCAGAACATATTTGTATCCCTTTGGAATTTTTTTCGATTCTATTAGTCGGTCTATTAAAGTTTATCGAAGAGTATAGTCTAACGAAGTCTTCTGTAGTCCCTGGAATGGCGAGTGGCTGTTTAATCTGTTAACCGGGGATGACGAGCACTGGTATTTAAACAATATTCTTGTTTTTTATATATATACCAAAGATTATTCTGCATTTGAGTTTCCATGGTGAAAGAGTCACTTGGTTAACAGTTTAACCCCTTAAGGGCCATCCGCGAATGTCGTCGGACCAGTAGAATAGATCGACGCCGAGTCGGACTCGGGTATATCTAAGTTTCACCTTCGCAGCGTACATGCTATCGAAGCATAACACGAATTTTTGTAGCAATTCGCTGAATATTCTATTCTATATCCAACATTTTCACCGAGCATCCTTTGAAATATCTTTATCGAGCTATCCTTAAGGGGGCAGCGCCCACTCTGCGATTTTCGAGGACAGAATGGTCGTCGAAATTTCAATGTCACTGAATCACAATGGAATTCTGGTAATTTCCAACGGACTATCGATTCTTTTGCGTCGACACGGATTTTTATACGAATAAATTATCGAATCTTTCCTTTCTTCGAAGATCCTGGCCAGGGAACGGCGTTTCAAGGAACACGCCGATCCCCTCTTCCAACACCGACATATCGCGTCTCGGGTCCTCCGCGCCACGCACAAATCTATCCCCTCTGATCACGAAACTTTTTACAAAATTCGATTGCGGCTAGCGCGCAGAATTCTATATCAGTAGCTCGAGAGCGAGCCCCGCCGGACAGTCTCGCGCGTGGACCAATTCGATCGAGAACAGATACACCTTCGACGGATGAACCCTTAACGGAGCGTCCCCTGACATGTCTATAGCTGAACCCGACAAGCTTGCTTGTTCCTTCTTCAAGGGATTCTCGAAGATACTCGACGGATCTCCGGCGATCGATGATCGTTATCGGTGATTCAACCGATCGAGGAAACTCTGAGAACTTCCGTCGCGAAAGTCTGGAAGACGACAATTGCCGAGATTCGTTTCGGGCTCGCGTGTACGCACGATGGCGTAACTGTAGCAAGAACGACGGAAGACTCGACGGCGCGGCTAGGATCGCGTGTACGATCGGTGCGTCGAGTCGATCGCGAGGTTGGTATCCCAGTTTCACCGTGCACACTCGCGCGATTTCCGTGCGCTCGCGTCGAGGCGCGATCCCCGATCGTTCCACGGAGAACACTCCCACGCGCAGAAAGAAATCGGACGAAGACAAAACCGGGGGACGAGAGGAAGCGCGGCGATCGTACGCTTCCCGAAACTCGAAACGATTTTGCCGATGCTCGCCGCGTTGCAAGCTGGCTTCGCTGGTCGAAAATCAGGATTTCCCTGACGTTCCCGACGGCGAGGCGGAGAAACGGGAGAAATGCCGACGGGGAGAGAGGCGCGAAGAGAGAGCGTGAGAACGTAGAGAGGGGGAGAGGAAGAGATCTACGAACGGAGAGCAACTTAGGGGAAAAAGAGAGAGGGAATAAGGGAAGAGCTGAAAAGAGACGCGTGTAGATACTCTAGGTACGTAGCGTTCAGAGTTCGAGAAATTACGCTTGAGCAGCATGGTGAAGAGCGTCAGACGAATGAATACATATTATATATACATATATAAAGATATGTACATAGCGATATGTACGTATACATATATATATATTTAAAGAGAAGAAGAGGATATATAGTCGAAGTGAATTTAATCAACCTTATTCTGTACGTGATGTACGTGATGTACGTGGATGAATAAAATCTTTATTTTTTTGGCCTGCATCGTTTTTATATGCTGTACCTGCGATCCATTGACGTCACCGCCTCCCCTTTTTAGCGTTACGCTCGCCGGGTGTGTCGGTGCGGATCGAAGGATGATTGCGAAAGATTCTTCTCTTGTTTCCATC